TCTCCCGATTCATGTTGCCGGGCCCAAGGATAAGCGACGGCCAGGACTATGTCTTGAGAATTAGAATTCCGGTTCATACAGAGAATTTTCTTCGAATGTACCGGAACTATGAAGATTATCAAGTGAAGGTGAGCTGAGCTCGCCGAAGCAGCAGAGGTTGCGTTCTCATGGAGTGCAAATTTGCAGAAATGAATTTTTAGTCCTGTTACTTTTTGTAGCCTGGCTCTCAGAGAAGCATGTAGGTCTTGTGGAAAATCACTTCAATCAAGTTCACGTGCTGGTCGTGAAACTTCTCTGATATAGATGCATCAGAGGGAGCTGTTTGCCCTTGGCCGCAGTGACGTCCAGACTAAAATCCGGGTTATGTAAGCGGAAATTATTTGAGGAGGATCTCCAATTGGCGGGATGGAGGTGTCAGTACTATTTCCTCAACGCAATCCATGACAGGACAGCTTTTCTTCAAACCGTACGTAGCCATGTTTATGATCGGTCACTCGCGATGATCGCAAATGGTTTGCCATCCACGAGGTCCTTGGCGGCATCAAGAGTCCTTCTTCCAGTGCGCTCGACAGCAGCCACCCGAGATTGCGTCCAGGATCTGTCAATGCGATTGCGATGGCTTCAATAAGCGAGAAGGGAGCTCAGAAAATCTCTTATTTCTACTTCAACCGCAGTATTTCGTCAAATCAGATTGCCGACGCTCTTTGACATGTGTTCACATCGCACTTGAATCACAGGTGTCAGCAAAATCGACTTCTTTCATGTTTAGACAGGCTATTCAGCTTCCAGGCTGAGAACGAACCTTTGCACTCACTGAGATCGTCAATGAAGACATCACGTGTATGTGGAGTTTGAAGTAAGGATGGAAGGCTAAGGCAGTAGGATGTAAATGAAAAGTGGACACAGAAACCCGATGGTAGACAGGGCTTCCTCTCAAGTAGGTAACAAGCACCTGACACACGGCCGATCATCTTCTCCATCCTTTATTGCTGCGCTCATTCCTTTGAACCCTCACTGTCTAGCCTTTGAATGAACTTTACGAAGAAGGAAAAGATGGGAGCCTTCCTTTATTGCTTAAGGTTGCTTCCTTCCCTACATGGGTTGTCTGCGCCTTCCGCCATCAATCCCATGCTCTGTGATCTCCTGCTTGGGTGACTCCGTCAATATTTCACAGAGCCTTCTTTATGCTTAGGTTATTGTCGATTGTTCCCCGAGTCATATTGTATACTTCTATACGTTATACGTCTTCGATCTATCTACCTTCTCTACTGTCTTATCGTTCCCAATGGTCGGTCAGTTCGGCAGAGACCCTCTTGGGGCCCTTCTGAATCAGGAAAACACAGAGCCTGTTCGCCGGCTCAGTGGTGTGAACACAAAAAGTCCTCTTGTGGCCAGCATGCCGGATGAGAAGAAACAGATGCCTCACGACGATGATGATGATGATGCCGAAGAGGAGAACATGGACACTCTCATTGACGATCTCGAAACAGTGGATGGTGATGTTGACGTAAATGATGATATAGCCATTGACAAAGGTGCCATCACTCGTCGTGTTTCCGATGAGATGCTACAGACAGACCCAGAGAAAGGTCTCAGCGAAATCGAGGCTCAGCATCGACGGAGAAAGTACGGTCCCAATCGGATGAAGGAAGAAAAGGAGAACCTTCTGCTAAAGTTTTTGTCTTTCTTCGTTGGACCTGTCCAGTTTGTAATGGAGGTATGAAACCATCATGCTGCATATGTTCATCCCTTCAGAAAGACGACTGATTCTGTGAGCACAGGGTGCCGCTGTCTTGGCTGCCGGGCTTCGAGATTGGGTCGATTTCGGTGTCATATGTGCGCTTCTTTTGCTCAACGCATCCGTGGGCTTCATTCAGGAATTTCAGGCGGGATCTATTGTCGATGAGCTCAAGAAAACACTCGCTCTCAAAGCAATTGTCTGCCGCGAAGGCCAGTTTGATGAAATCGATGCCTCGGAGATAGTGCCTGGAGATATAGTCAGAATCGAGGAGGTATTGTACTACCAAAATCCCTAGACCAGATAAAGGATGAGCTCTTCTGACTCGAGAAGGGGACTATCGTACCAGCCGATGGTCGGATAGTGTCGTCCAACCTTATCCAGGTGGATCAATCTTCGATTACTGGGGAATCCCTGGCAGTTGACAAACACAGAGGAGATACTTGTTACGCATCATCTGCCGTCAAGCGTGGCCGAGCAATGATCGTTGTTACCGCCACTGGTGATTATACCTTTGTCGGACAGGCTGCCGCATTGGTTAATGCTGCGTCCTCTGGATCAGGCCACTTCACTGAAGTGCTCAATGGTATCGGCGCTGTCCTTCTTGTTCTGGTCATCATAACCTTGCTTGTTGTGTGGGTTTCGTCCTTTTACCGCTCAAATGGCATCATTACGATCCTAGAGTTCACCTTGGCCATTACGATGATTGGTGTACCTGTCGGTCTCCCTGCGGTTGTCACGACTACAATGGCGGTTGGTGCTGCGTATCTAGCTAAGAAACAAGCCATTGTGCAAAGATTATCGGCGATTGAGTCTTTGGCTGGTGTTGAGATACTCTGCTCTGACAAGACCGGAACACTGACAAAAAATAAGCTATCATTGTCAGAGCCTTACACTGTCGCTGGGGTTGAACCGGACGATCTCATGTTGACTGCTTGCTTAGCCGCCTCGAGGAAGAAGAAAGGCATGGATGCCATCGATAAAGCATTTTTCAAAGCACTCCGGTATTATCCGCGTGCAAAAACTGCGCTTACGCAATACAAGGTGCTGGAATTCCATCCATTTGATCCTGTTTCGAAGAAAGTCACGGCTGTAGTGGAGTCGCCCCAGGGTCGGCGAATGACCTGTGTGAAAGGCGCGCCTTTGTTCGTTCTCAAGACCGTCGAGGAGGATCACCCGATTCCAGAGGAGATTGATACTGCATACAAGAACAAAGTCGCTGAATTTGCAACTCGCGGTTTCCGTTCGCTTGGAGTTGCTCGCAAGCGCGACCAGGGCAGTTGGGAGATCCTCGGTATCATGCCATGTTCCGACCCTCCACGACATGACACTGCGAAAACCATCAGTGAGGCGAAGAGCCTGGGGCTCTCGATCAAGATGCTAACCGGCGATGCGGTTGGAATTGCCCGAGAGACTTCTCGTCAACTTGGACTCGGCACCAATGTGTACAATGCGGAGCGGCTCGGTCTCGGCGGTGGTGGAACAATGCCTGGATCAGAGGTGTATGACTTTGTCGAAGCTGCCGACGGCTTTGCGGAGGTCTTTCCGCAGCACAAATACAACGTTGTGGAGATTCTACAGCAACGTGGATACCTTGTGGCAATGACGGGTGACGGTGTCAACGATGCCCCTTCGCTCAAGAAAGCCGACACTGGTATTGCGGTTGAAGGATCCTCTGACGCGGCGCGCTCTGCTGCTGATATTGTCTTCCTTGCTCCCGGCTTGTCTGCGATAATTGATGCGTTGAAGACTTCACGTCAGATATTTCACCGCATGTATGCATATGTGGTGTATCGGATAGCCTTGTCATTGCACCTCGAGATTTTTCTGGGCTTGTGGATTGCAATTTTGAATGAAAGTCTCAACCTACAGCTCGTTGTTTTCATTGCCATCTTTGCTGATATTGCCACACTTGCCATTGCCTACGACAACGCTCCGTACTCCAAGACTCCAGTGAAGTGGAACCTTCCCAAGCTATGGGGCATGTCTATTCTTCTTGGTCTTGTACTTGCCGCAGGGACTTGGGTTGCGCTTACCACTATCCTGAATAGTGGCGAAGAAGGCGGCATCATTCAGAACTTCGGAGAACGCGACGAGGTGCTGTTCCTCGAGATATCACTGACCGAGAATTGGCTCATTTTCATCACCCGCGCGAACGGGCCCTTCTGGTCATCAATTCCTTCTTGGCAATTGACGGGAGCCATTCTAGTTGTTGATCTCGTGGCTACATTTTTCTGCATATTTGGTTGGTTCGTCGGTGGCCAAACCTCGATTGTTGCTGTTGTCCGTATCTGGGTCTTCTCGTTTGGCGTCTTCTGCATCATGGGGGGTCTTTATTACCTGCTGCAGGGCTCAACGGGCTTTGACAATCTCATGAATGGTAAAAGCTTCAGGCGAAGCGTGAAACAGAGATCTCTCGAGGACTTCGGTAAGCTTACCTGCAGCCACGCATTGATCGTGCATTTGGCTTACTCCAACCAGTGGTTTCGCTCCAAAGGGTCTCGACACAGCATGAGAAGAATCCTTGAAGCTGTCTAGGCTCGGTTTTTCTCCGTGTGTACAATTTCATGCCCCGTTGCGGCACCATTATAGCATTCCTGGCAGGCATTGTTATGCAGCGGTCTCACAAGTTATACTTCCCAGCTGAGGCCATTTGATGGTACCTCCCTTTCCTTAGTGTCCTGTCATGATTCAACTAGCTCTTACTTTGCTTCATGTTGTCCAATGATTACGGTAGTCAAATAGACAAAATTGCATATCCGCTACAAGTTTAAGGAATTCTCCGTCGCAAGTCTTCGTTGTGAATCCCGATAGGCAAGAAACAAATCATCTTGCTTTTCTCACTGTTGCATACATACGATTTAACTTGGGACCATGAATTATCTATACTCTTACTCAATGCGAGCTCTGTCTGCATGAAGGTTTCGTATGAACTGGATGAAGGGTCGAAATGTGACGATAAAATAGACACTGAAAGTCGAAGATCTAGCCATATCTGCTTAGCACACAAGTTTGTAAGCTGTGCCTTGGGCTAGCCTTTTGTAGATAGTTAGTTAACTAGTTAGCTAACTAATTCTGCTTACATAACCATCCCCTCCGCTCGACATGGAATTTCTAATGCGGATTTCGGATCTTTCCCCTCGATGATAAGAAATTGCACAGCGAGCATTTTCTGAAACACCATGACATTTCCTCAATAGTCCGTTTAGACTCCTCACCTATCATAGAACTCATCTCAGCAACTTTTATCTATTCCGCGTCAATGCCTCCTCGTAGGAGGCCACAGCCACCTGCGGCCAGCCAGGCGCGATCTGCGCAGCCTTCTGAGGTATGGCAAAAGTTTCTCCGCACTCTTCTCTCATTATACTTGTTCGTGCTAACGATTTACATGGATTTCAAACAGTCTGCAGCTCCTTCTCGGAAAGGGTCTACTGACGCCTCTAGCAAGAGAAGACGGTCTATCCAGTCGAAACCACCTACAAACCCAGCACCGGCCGCAGAGAACGTTGAGCAAGATGATCGCGCGAATGAGCCTTCAGGACCGACCTACCGTCATAGAGATCCCTTCGACGCCCTTCTCGAACCCTTCTACTACAATAAATCACTTTCGGACCCAATAAACACTGCCAAGGATAAATGGAACCTGTTGCCGGCTTTCTTGAAAGTGAAGGGATTGGTGAAGCAGCACATTGACTCATACAACTACTTCATCGAAGTGCAACTGAAGAAGATTGTCGAGTCCAGTTCGACTATCCGTAGCGACATCGATCATAACTTCTATATCAAGTTTACAGATATCTACGTCGGCTCGCCGTGCCGTGCGGACGAGCCGCAGGATGTCACCCCCGATGCTTTCCCGTCGACCGTCTCACCACACGAGTGCCGCCTCCGTGACACAACCTATGCGGCCCCTATTCTGGTCAATTTCGAGTACATTCGTGGGCGTCAAAGGGTTATTCGGAAAGGCGTGTCAATTGGCAGAATGCCAATCATGCTTCGAAGCTCAAAGTGTGTGTTGGCAAACAAGACTCCATCGGAGATGACGGTGTTGAACGAGTGTCCTCTGGACCCTGGTGGATACTTCATTGTCAACGGTACAGAGAAGGTTATTCTCGTTCAGGAGCAGTTGAGCAAGAACAGAATCATAGTCGAAACCGACCCGAAGAAGGAAATTGTTCAGGCGTCGGTCACTAGGTGAGTTGTTCTTCGTGTTCTCGGTTCATACCATGTTGGTTTTTCTGCTAACCTGACTTGCGATTGCAGTTCTTCCAACGAGCGTAAATCAAAGAGTTACATTATCCTCAAGAAGGACAAGCTCTACGTGAAGCACAACGTCCTCAGTGAAGACATCCCCATCGTCATTCTTCTGAGAGCCATGGGTATACACACGGAGCAGGAGATGTTGCTTCTAGTTGCTGGTGTCGACAGCCTCTACCAGGATGACTTCGCCATCAACTTCGAAGAAAGCATCAAATTGGGAATCTACACTCAACAACAAGCTTTGGACTGGATCGGTGCACGGATTAAGATCAACCGGAAACAGATGTCTTATCGTCGAACACACATTCAAGAAGCCGTCGAGGCTATCGCCTCTGTCATAATTTCCCACATTGAGGTCAAGAATATGAACTTTCGGCCAAAGGCGGTATACGTTGCTCACATGGCGCGTCGAGTTTTGATGGCCAAGAATGACCCCTCTCTGGTTGACGATCGTGACTACCTCGGAAACAAGCGTCTGGAATTGGCTGGGCAGCTTCTTGCTCTGCTTTTTGAAGATTTGTTCAAGAAATTCTGCTTCGACATCAAGATGAACATCGATAAAGTGCTGAATAAGCGCAACCGCGCTGAAGCATTCGATGCTTGGAGTGTCATGAGTATGCACAGCAACCATATCACTCAGGGCATGAACCGTGCCATCTCGACGGGTAACTGGAGTTTGAAACGTTTCCGTATGGAGCGTGCTGGTGTTACCCACGTTCTCAGTCGGCTTAGCTACATCGCCGCTTTGGGTATGATGACCCGTATCAGCAGTCAGTTCGAAAAGACCAGAAAAGTCAGTGGTCCCAGAGCTCTGCAACCGTCCCAATTTGGTATGCTCTGTCCAGCAGATACTCCTGAAGGTGAAGCCTGTGGTTTGGTAAAGAACTTGGCGCTCATGACCCACATCACGACGAATGACGAGGAAGGTCCAATTAAGAACCTGGTTTTCATGCTCGGAGCTGAGGACATTCTGGCCATGGGTGGAAAACAGCTATACACTCCCGGCTGTTACACAATTTCCATCAACGGAACGCCAATAGCACTCACCCGTCGCCCGAAATATTTCCTTAACGCTTTCCGCAGATTACGGCGCATGGGTCGTATCTCGGAGTTTGTCAGCATCTACATCAACCATCATCAATGTGCAGTACATATCGCCACTGACGATGGACGGATCTGCAGACCTCTCATCGTTGTCGAGAATGGCAAGTCCCTCGTCAAAACCCACCACTTGGAGAAATTGCGTGATGGCACGATGCAGTTTGATGATTTCTTGGCTCAGGGTTTGGTCGAATACCTCGATGTCAACGAGGAGAACGACTCCTTGATCGCTATTTACGAGAAAGACATCACAGATACAACGACGCATTTGGAGATCGAACCCTTTACTGTGCTTGGAGCCGTCGCTGGTTTGATCCCGTACCCACACCACAACCAATCGCCCCGTAACACGTACCAGTGTGCGATGGGTAAGCAAGCTATTGGAGCCATCGCATCAAATCAGTTCCTCCGTATCGATTCTATCCTCTACCTCATGGTGTACCCACAGAAACCTATGGTCAAATCACGCACAATTGAATTGGTCAAGTACGATCAACTTCCCGCCGGTCAGAATGCTATGGTGGCGGTCATGAGTTATTCCGGTTACGACATTGAAGACGCGCTGGTTTTGAACAAGGGTTCCGTCGATCGTGGCTTCGGTCGTTGCCAAGTGTACCGGAAGTACGTGACCAACCTGAAGAGTTATTCCAACGGCACCAAGGACAGGCTCAATCCGCCCACGTACGAGAACGGCGCCCCCATCAGAAAGCATGCACTGCTTGAAGCGGATGGTCTGGCTGCTGTCGGTGAACAGGTAAACGCTGGTGAGGTCTATATCAACAAGAGCACACCCGAGCAATCCAACATGTCTGCAATTGGTTCCGATGCTGGACGACCAGTTCAGTATACACCAACGCCCATGACTTACAAGCTTCATGACCCAGCATACATTGACAAGGTCATGTATTCCGTACAGGAGAACGAGAATCAACTCGTCAAGGTTCTTGTTCGCCAAACCCGTCGGCCAGAAGTAGGTGACAAATTCTCCTCTCGTCACGGTCAGAAGGGTGTGGTTGGTATCATAGCCGACCAGGCAGATATGCCATTCACGGATGCTGGTATCAATCCTGACATTATCATGAACCCGCATGGTTTCCCCTCCCGTATGACAGTCGGGAAGATGCTGGAACTCGTTGCTGGAAAAGCTGGTGTGCTTGCTGGTCACCACGGTTACGGAACCTGCTTCGGCGGGACCCCCGTGGAGGAGGCCTCGCGGATTCTGATCGATCACGGCTTCAGTTACGGTGGCAAAGACTATCTCACGTCTGGTATCACCGGCGAAGCCCTTCCATTCTACGTCTTCACCGGCCCTATCTACTATCAGAAGCTCAAGCACATGGTGCAAGACAAGATGCACTCGCGTGCGCGCGGACCTCGCGCCATTCTGACCCGTCAGCCCACAGAAGGTCGTTCTCGAGACGGTGGTCTGCGTTTGGGAGAGATGGAGCGTGATTGTCTCATCGCCTACGGAACCAGCCAACTGCTTCTCGAGCGTCTCATGATCTCGTCCGATCGCCACGAGATTGACGTCTGCGAGCAATGCGGGTTCATGGGCTATCTGAACTGGTGTCAGCGGTGCAAGTCCTCTCGGAGCGTCGTGAAGATGACGATTCCCTACGCAGCCAAGCTTCTCATTCAGGAACTGATGAGTATGAACGTGACTGCTCGCCTGAAGCTCGATGATGAGTTCCCCGAGTCAAAGGGAATCTAGTAATTACCTCTTATGGAGATCGTCTTGCACCGCATCGATATCAGCTTTGTACAAAAAGGAAAAGTTTCATGTGTTTGATGTCCGAGAAAAAAGTGTGTTGTCGGTCGGTTTGGCGCTCGAGGTCATTTGGTTTTACGTACTCATTTACTGCGTACATGTCGTTTGCATGCATAGCGCACGGCGATTTAGTTTTGTCATTAGATGCTGTTTATCATACCATTTGGATAGAAATAAGTCTTTGCGGGACTAGAAAGTACGGAATGTGGATTTTTCAAATGAGTCTTGTCTTCGTCGATGATGTATAATTTGTCTGGAGTCTGAATCTAGGATTTTGATTAACAGGGCAACACAGTAGATAGAAATAACAATTTGCCGATGAGAAATGCATGGCACAGCGACCAGTGTTAAAGAACGACTACGTTCGATTCGAAGGCAACCTGCTGGTACTTGGTGTACTCAACCCTCTCCCGAAAGACCTCGTCATGTAGTTTCCTAGCCTCGTCCATGGAGATAGGTAGACTGTCCTTCCTCCCCCGGAACTCCAGGGCGAGTCTATCCAGCATGCGATACACCCCATCAAGTTCCTGGGGGCTGACTCCTTCAAAGCTCCAATCCACTCTCTGAGGCGGGACATTGGCCGTCGAAATGATGCGGATGTTGGGGTCGACCAGGAAAAGATGGAGCACCTTGACACAGCCAGGCCTAGTGCTGTCCGTCAACTCGAAGCGGTTCACGCGGTGCTGGAGGGTGTTCGGGTAAATGATGACTCGGCCGAGGTGCCCTTTGATTTTGCCCACGGTTTGGACGCAAGGTTCTCCGTCCTCCAGGCCGAAGACTTGTTTCAGCCAGACTGTGTCGTCGGGCTCGTGCTCGACCTCGGTCAGGGAGGCGGTTTCGGAGATTTGCCGGTATTCCACCGAGGGAACTTGCACATTGTCCATGTGGAAGGTGTAACTCATCGTTGCGACCGTATGTTCATTCTACAGTGACGGTCAGCAGAAGAGAGTCATGGGGTGTTGTAATTGCGAACGAAACTCACCATCTGGCCTTCGCAGTGCCAGCCGGATTCAAAGTACGGATGCTCAGGCGTCAGATCGTGACTGACAATTCTAACAATTACTTGTAGCCCCCGATGTCCATAGTCTTTGTTCAGCTCAACACCCTGCTCAATCCGGACCGGGGTCGGGAGATCCGTTGGTATCAAGGACATCATCCATGGTGGTACGGCCCAGGGAATGAATTTCCCAGCGTCCGGTTGGATGGCTTTCCAATTCTCCATCCTCCACGCATCCAGTCTATCTTGATATTCTACTTCCGCCTCGCCCGGTCTTGCTTTAGGCGTCTGTTCCTCGACCTCCTTCGAAATGGGATAGTACTCGGCTTTTTTATACTCAATCCGTGCACGGGCGTGAAGCATATCCTTGAGCGGAGTCAATGATGCATTCCACTGAGGAATTGTCATGTTGAACAGGTCCTCAATCAGCGTGTATATGTTGCGGTGATGCACCGGGTGTAGGTTATTGATATAACTGACAATGTGCCACTTGCCGTCGTCCTTCAACTCAAGATCACACGGAAGAACCTGGAACCTGCGACTGAAAGGCTTAACAGTGATGTCGGCGCGAGCAGCGACTCTCCAAGCCATGTCCTCACGTGTGATCGTCTCTGGAGGGACAGGGATCACCACCCCTTGGCCAGCGTTGTCCAATGCATCATCCAGCCCAATGACTCGATCCTTGAGAACACGTGTCCGCCCATACACAAGAGGAAAGAATCCAACCGGGACGAGATCGCGTTGCACATACTTGGCCCCTGGGTTATAGAACTTCAATACCGGTGGCACTTCCTCAAGAGCGCTGGTTGCCGATTTTAATTGAATTCGAAATGATTCCGGCACATTGTGGTCTGACTTGGTAACGTCGCCGTTGTACAACGAGACAACCTGGGTATGCTCGTAGATGATTGCTTTGAATTGTAGCTCCTCGATAATCCAGTCGGCCATGTTTTTGGTGATATCTTCCTCGCCCATTGCTTCTTTCTTCCATGTTTCGGCAACCTCATGAAGAAATATCTGTCGAAATGTTAGTTGAGTTGATTCACAAAAGCAAGCGGGGCCGAAGTAATTGAGGCTTCGCATGATGGCAAGCAGGCCGCGATTCAGTCGAGTCAGAAATGAGCAAACCTACGTTTTTATGCCAATCAGGCAAATCTGTGATGCGCTCCATCACCCTTACCATCCCCATCTCACGGAGGGTCAAAACAGGCTGACTGCTCTCAATCAGAATCATGAAAGAACAAATGCTGAATGCAGCTTGTCAGACGGGTTTGTGCCTTACTCGACGTCCCCTCTTGCGATATCCCGATCGTCCAGACTTGTTGGAAACAAGCTTCGGTTCTGGACACCGTAGATGTTCTGCTCCACCGGTGCATAATTGAGCGGCAAACCGAATCCAGGCAGTACCAACTTGCTGTCCTGGACTTTTGGAACGACCACGAAGGCCTCCTGCCTCGGCACGCTTTGAAACATGTTGCTGGCTGATTCGAAACCTCACTGCCATAGAGTCTCTATCAGTACACGCTGAAATGATTTGGTCCTTTGCCCGCACGGTAAGAGACCTCCGGTTAATTGTGGACACATGCCTTCAGCGCCAAACCTGGCAAACTGTTCTAAGAACTTCGTTTCCTATTTAAGTCGTCCTTGAGGAGGTCTCCACGACAGTGTATTTTCAAGACTGGCTCCTCTCAATGAGGGCGCAGAACTATTCATGAAGAATGGAGAGAAACTGATCGGGCACACTAGGTTCATGACGTGTTGACATGGAGCTCAGAGTCATTGTGATTGTAGTATGATGTTTGTCTTGGATGGGTTAATTGACCATCGCCAGCCTGAACGAGGATCTAGAGCGAGCCGCTGCTTCCGAAAGAGCTAGGCTGTCCTTCGCAACGATGACCGGACACAGTTTCTGATGGGGTGAGCTGGCGGAATCCTGCTCCGTTTGTTTCGATAATTTTGTCGGAGGAATGAAGTCATAAAGGATGACCAATGGGAGGTGGAAAAGACATGAAGGTTGCTATCAACTTTTGATCCGTGGTTCTTGTTCGAAGCCATGGTTCGATCAACTTTTCGGGCTGGGAATCGGCTGTCACCTCTGAGCGAAGTATTATAATGACTAAAACTGATTGCACCAGATTCGATGAAGGTAACTTTAAAGCAATATATCAGTTTCGACCGCAGATGCTCGGTAATCATGAGTAATTTTGACATTTGTGTGGTAACGAAAGGGCATTTGCTTGTCTGAAGCGCAAAGACAAGAGAGTCCTGGCACAATCACCCATTTATTTCGATGCAGGCAACTCGAGATATGTCTTCACTATGCTCCAGTACCGTTCAGGGTCCGACCTCATATGGCAGACATGCGGTGACCCAAGGAATTTCTCACGCTGAACCACCCAACCTTTGGCCTGCGCGTCAGAGGCATGTTTTTCGACGTCTCTCCAGTCGACTAACTCATCTGCATCGGAGTAAATGTAGCAACGTTCGGGGCTATCATTCTGACTCGTTCCCCGGACCAGACCATGATCATTCAGCGCATTTCGGGCACGACTCACAGCATCAGCAGTCCGGGCCAGTCTCCGTAACAGAGAGCCCGCTACCAGGAAGACAAACAGCAAGAATTTACTCAAATAGCGCAAAAACCACATCTTGGGCAGCACGAACGAGAACGCCTTGAGAGCAGCGGAGATTGTCGCTTTTCCAGGCGCACTATCTATGATCATCGATGAGACACGCAGCGGTTTTCCTGTTGCCTTCTGGTACGCTGTAAGAAAATGGGCGGTCGAAGCGACGCCCCCATTTGAGAACATGTGCAGAAACACCGGACCTTCAGGAAAGTTGGAGGCCTGGATGGCTTCCACGGCCGGAGCAAGACGGGCTTGCTGTGCTTTTTGCGAAGCATGAAGCATAAAATCATTTGAGGAACTGAGAATGAAGACTATCCTGGCCGAGGGTGCCAGGCGTCTATACTCGACGACATACTTCACTAGCGCGCGTGGGGAAGCGTTCATCCAGAAAGCAAGAACTATGACTCTGGGTTGCTTCCCAGAGTAACCAACAGCTTCAACAGGGTCTTGGAGGTAAACGGATGAAGAGAGTTTGAAAAAAGGGGCCAGCGGATTGTCCTCTCGAACTTTTGGAGTCATCGTGATTGTGGAGATCAGCGAGTGAGTTTGGTTGGTTTGCCAATGGTATCTATGCGACGAGCCTCAGAAAAGGAAGGCAGACATCGGCCGTTCACTTGATCACTGGAAGGGAAATCGCAACTGGTGTTTGAGGGAATTCGGGCGACAGTATTGTGATGAAGTCTCAAGTGTCAAAGTGTCAAACCGCACTAAGAGCTGACGCGAGAGATCCACTAGATACAACCTGACGCCACCATCATAGGAACGCGATGATGTCTCTGCGACTCAGGATTACGCTGGTCAAGCAGGTTTCTTGGTTTTTAAAAGTAGAGAATGACTTTGTTCAAGAACAGCAACCCTCGCCAGAGAAATCGCCGCGGGTGAGGTCGTTGGGCCTCGGCAAGCTCCACCCGCTCTCGTGAGACTGCCGACATACAGCCGGCCATCACAGTGAGCAGTCACTCATGGTGATCGCCTTTCCTGGTGGAAACTTACGAGAAAATTAGAGCAATGATTAGCGCCCATACTCTAGACTTTTAGAGGCGGAACGAGTCCAGTTGAAATAGAGTTGAAGAAAGAAAAAGACCCTTATTAAACGCCAGCCAGCCCTGATATGCTTGATATGAAGCCGTCTTGACTTAAATCTCTTGCCACCTTCAGGAAGAAACGGATACGGAAGTCGTTAAGCATTGTATCTGTGAGAGTGATCGACCGGGAAATCAACGTTTGGTACCGCCAAGGGTTCGCCCACTCCCATGAGACTTCTGGTTGCGTTCTTTGCCTTTGTGATTTTCCACATCACTTCCTGACGTCGGTGTAGCAGAGTCTCCTGGCTCTCTCTTCTTCCCCCGCAATGTCTGACCTGTTCCCTGAAAGCGCGGCTTCTCAATGACCTGTCCGTCCTCGCCACGCCCCTTGACGGGCTTGATTGCATATCCAAAAAATAGCTGGTTATATGGTAGCCTAAGTGGCTGTGGTCCATTGGTGCGTCTAGCTGGGGGTGGGTGCTGAGGATTCGTCGCTCCTGGCACCGGCGTTGAAGGCTTAGGAGTCGGAGCTTTGCTACCCTTCTTCGCATTCAAGCGCTGCCCCCCAAGAAGGAAGTTTGATGATACTGCTTTCGCACCCGTAGCTGCGTCGGTGGACTCCGGAGCAATGGCCGCGTAGTTGATCGCTTGAGCCATTGTCCCGTGTGGATGGAGTAAACCCCCAGAGGGCAGCTTCCCGCTTACCCCGCTGAGGGGGGTGCTGGTGCCACTCGGGCGTTGGGTCTCTTCATACCCTACTGGCGGTGCGAAGTCAACCTCTAAATCTGTTTCCAGTACGGAGATAGCGTTGGTGTTGTTCGATGGCTTGGTCTCGAGAACCGCCATTTCATAGACCTGGTCGTTATAAGCAAAAGTGAAGACATCGCCCTTCGTGAGACAGGAGAAATTCCGAAAAGCATTTTCTAACACTGCCTTTGGATCGCTGATGTCAAGAAAAGAGGTTGACTGGGCTTGAAGTTTAATGAATTGGCCGGGAGGAAGATCGGTTGATTTGACCTGGACGAGGTCACCAGGCTCGAGTAGTAAAGTTTGCATGAGCTATAGAGAGACCAGGAAATGTCAGTGACGACTGTCCCAATAGATCAGTAAGAGAGAATATTGTCTGTCTGACCCAGAACGGCAGATAAATTTTCCCCTCCTCAGCAATGAATTCCAGAACACCGGCATGTGTCATCCTCTCTTTTGCACCATTATGCAACTCGAACAGCATGGGATATGTGATATGTAACCTAGTTAACTTGTCTAGAGCACTAGGCGGCATAATCACCTTGCCGCCATGGTTGACGTTTTCCCTCTCCGGACCAGGCAACATCGCGACGGGGTAACAGCGGTAATATTCATCAAAACGGCGTGTAGCGGCTCCATGACGGAGCATGGAGGAGCCTAGAACTCCCTCCATCGGGTCGTCGTCCCAATAGCCAGGACGAAACTGAGGGCGTCAGGTCTTGTAAAACTTGTAGCGTAAAGTTGAGCTGAAAGTGAGCTTACCATTGTGAGGTTTGTGAGTAGGGGAACGTTCTCGAAGATTGGTTTGGAGGAGATCTGAAGACTTGGCTCTGTTACTCAATATATCCAAGTTGTCGTTTGAAAGATAGCAAAGCAGGTCTGACAGGGAATTGTACCTCCACTGTTGGCGTTGGAGATGGCAGAAGCTAGAGCTGCTCCTTATCGCTGGACCAACAGTGACGCAAATGCCTCCGCAATGATTTTCCGAGCCGACCCCAGAAAAGACAAGAAATCAGCATCAACCAGCAGCTCTAGTCAAGCTCATAGAGTTAACTTATGTTATTTTTGATGCTTTGGGATGTTTACTGATACTGATTTGATGCTCTGTTTTTTGTTTTCTAAAATAACTAAGCTCCTGATCGTCGCTCACATCGAGAATGATGTCCTCCTCTCAACCACGCCCAAAGCGGGCAGGTGAAGACTTCACGCGCACACACCACCACGATGAAGACGATCCGAACGGTCCTTCCGAACACAAGAAGCCACGCTTCGATCTACGGAATCCCTCTAATCTTGCACCCGACGTGCTCGATGAGGACCCAGTATTGGACGCAGACGAGATCGGCCGTCGTGGACAACAAGTGCGCCGCAAGGCCGTGAACCTCGATGGCTACGATTCGGACAGTGAAAATGAAGGGTTCAGCGCGCGCATCGAGGCCAAGGCGAAGAGGAGTCGCGCGAAACACGACGCCGAAGATGACGACATGTTCGCGGAGCTCCAGGAAGATTTCGGTGCCGAAGAAATCGATGCCGATGAGGCACTGAGGAAGAACAAGAAAACCGTGCGTTTCTTGCGAGATGATGAGATTGAGGGTCAGGTGGCTTCATCGAAAGGTGGAGTGACATTGCGTGCGGATCTGAACGCAACAGGGGACACAGTCGAGGAGGACGAGGTGGAAAGTGAGAGCGATGTGGCAGACGAAGACCGTGCGAGGATCGAGGAGGGCATGGACGAGGAACTGGGTGCTGGCGCTAAGAAGAAGCATGCGCCACTGCTAGATGCGTTCAATATGCGCGCCGAGCAAGAAGAGGGTAAATTTGATGACCAGGGAAATTACGTACGAAAAGCAGCAGATCCCGACGCGATTTATGATTCTTGGCTGGATGGAGTATCGAAAAAGGATATACGGCTCGCCAAAGAGGCAGCAGAGAAAAGAGAGGCCGAGAGGAGGGAAAAAGACCGATTGAACGACAGCATTCTTACGGCCGATGTACTGAGGACCCTAATAACTCACCTGCAACGGGGAGAAACAGCTCTAGAGGCGTTAGCAAGGATAGGCAAAGGAGCCCCAAAGAAACCCAAATGGCAAGCCAAGAAGAACAAGAACCGGCCGAAGCAAAACGGGGCCGCAGCAGAGGATACCGAAATGACGGAAGATGACCCCAATGAGGTTTCTCGAAAGCAAGCGATAGAGGCCATCACTGGCGCGGCGGATATCCTCATGACACGGGGACAAGCAGAGATCTACGACACAGAGCGTGAGATGCTCACAAGACAGTACCGACAGGAAACAGGCGAGGACTGGGTCGATCCTCCCTCGGAGTCCACTGCTCCCACCAGTGCTCAAGAAGAGCCTGTAATGTGGCAATTTCGTTGGTCTGACGCTCGAGACGGCGGTGTCGAACATGGCCCGTATGACAGCTCGACAATGGAGTCGTGGAAGAGTGCTGGCTATTTCGGCGAGGGCGTCGAATTTCGAAAAGTGGGCGATACAGGACACTGGACGAGCGAGGCTTCTTTCCTATGATAACGATTGGGTCATAATCCTAAAAAGACCTCTATGTGTACACTCCGAGTTGGGATACTCCTCTGAAGGCATATCAACGTCATGATTATCATTGAAGTAAATATTCTTTTATTCGACAGAACCCAGTTCGAAGCCCAAATATCAAACAAACCATGCACATGAGCTTGAAGAAGCGCCAGCCTTATCGTACATCATAAGATGTGTAAAACAAAAGATCAAAAGAAATCAGAGGATAGAGAGCAAGAGGAGCGCTCTCGGAAGCAGCACCATATTGTCATACCGTATTACCTGATTTTTGGTGCATTCGTCTTCACGGAGCAGTATGATGAACGCGTTTACGAGATTTCCATGGCGTCTCCATTTGCAGTAGCTGAAAAGCTCACAGCACCTTGATCCCCTATAAACCGCTGTTCATAAGCATTGACGAACTTAACACTCCTGGCAGGATCGTAGAACAAGCGGTAGCTGCGCTGTACATCATCAATACTAACTTCTTTGGCCTTTCGTTTCTGGCTCAGGAGATGAGAGGTAGTGATGATGTTGCTAGCGTAACGGAGATTCGATTCCTGGCCAATCTTCGTCAAAAGAGCCAAAGCGTCCGGCGAGAGGTCGATCTCTTCTTCCTGCGCTCGGATTGCGAGAATTTGCCGGATTTCATCGGCAGAGTACGGCTGGGTGCTGACGATGACTACACGGTCGAGAAAGTCAAGGGGTAGTCCATGGGGGGAAGTGTATGTGGTGCCCCGGATCCGCGCTTGACCGCGGTTGCTGGCCATGATAACAATGGGCGCAAGCTCCGCCTCCAGGGCGCGGTTGATGTAGGAAAAGCATTCAATATCGAGCATGTGCACTTCGTCAATGAACAAAACACCGGGAATGATCTCCGCCTTGCCCTCTTCCTTCCATTCAGCCACCTTTGTGTTGATCTGATCTCTGACCTCGCTTCTAATCTCCCCAGTGTCACCAGAGAAGAGGGCCAAGAATCCTTGCGTCCGTGAGTTGATGACATCAATCTCATGGAGACTGACGGTATGTACTATTTCCTTGCGGACCTGAAGTTCTCCCTCAGGGCATTGGACGAATTTGGTATCAGCGCCCATCGCATCATAATCTCGAGAACGAGCATAGGAACGTCCAAGCTTGGTGATCTTCCCCGACGACTTGTCGATTGAGATAACGTCTCCGGCCATCACACGCTCCTTCGTCATTGAGTCAATCATTTTGGTTCCCATGTCGTAGATGGTCTCCATATCGGTGGTTTTGATCGTGAGTTTCCCTTGTTTGTTTCCCTACAACGGTTAGCAACCGCACTTTCAGAGAGGAGAAATCAAAAACCTGTACTCACACCAGTAACACTGCGATCGATCTGGATTTCCACAACTTCACCCTCGATGATCTCACTTTCCTCCTTGATTCGAACGCCGATGGATTTCCGGAAGGCTTGTGTAAGTGCTTCAGTCTTTGACATCTCCATAGAGAAGATCTCAGAGGCTGCGAGCATTGTGAAAGGAACGTCGGATCCAAGAGACTGGGCCATGCCCATGGCAATGGCTGTCTTTCCTGTGCTGGGAGGCCCTGCGATGAGGACTGCGCGACCCGCGATTTTGCCCTCCTTGACCATTTGTAATATGACCGCGGCCGCCTTCCTTGCCTTTTCCTGACCTACAAGGCCCTGAGAAGATGTTCTAGGCTGAAGCGAGTCTGTATCGACGCCAAGTCCCCTGATATGTGAATGAGCAGCAATGAGATTCAGACCACGGAGCTCCTTCGTCTCCGCGACGGTTGAGATAGGCTGTGACATAAATCAATCATATTGAAAGGGATGTAAGGTCTAGTCAGGTCACTTACCGCAGCCATATTGATTTGTAATTCAGCAACGTCTTTCTGTACTGCCACTGATACTGACTGAAACGCGCAAATCTATCTTCTCAAATTCCGAAGTTGCAATGCAGATAAAAGAGCTGTACAGGGCAGAAAGACACAGTTTGAGAACCGCCCCACTTGCCGCCCGGCAGAATAATGTGACCTGTCGAAGTGGTATGTCTTTGTCCATGGTCGCTCTCCAACAAATTTCAGTTTAACAAAGAGAAGATCACCTTGTTTTGTTTCGTCCGTTTGCTCTTTTCTTCTTGAACTCTGTGCCGGCTTCATTTCCTTCGCCGAGTCAGCCAAATTTGTCCTCTACGCGCTTTACAACGCGTCGATGTCTTTAAGCTTGCCTAGTTGATGGCGAGATGAGAGAATTCAATTTCTGAGATACAGTCGCGCACACACTACATTCTCGCCTCTAATTGCTATCAGATGTGAGCTACGCATGACTAGAGACAGCGCATTTTTTATCGATTGGCCCTCCGAGTGCATAGATGGCGGACAAAATGGATGTCGACAACCCAAATACCCCCACGTCACGCGATCCTCGCCTCGTCAGTCGAAACAGGCCAGCGCCTGCCAGAACAGCCTCTCTAGATACTGGCATATCTGGTTCTCCTAACGGTCCCAAGTTCGGCGTACGGCCACCGAACAAGACTCCGCCTAGTGACAGGCAAGATGGGGCTACTGGAGATCAATTCGTTCGCGCCCTCTCAGAATTGATCAAAGCTGCTGTTGACACAGCTACTCGGGAAGTCGGAAAGGAGAAATTGTTGAAAAGGAAGGACACGACAGAAGGTCTTCTGCGAAAGGCAAAAGCCGCGCCAAGTTTCCCATCAACCACAGCATTCTTCCAGCAAGCTCGCAACGATGAAGATTCTGAGTTGACACGAATGGATGAGACTATCACCAAACACCAATCGCACTACCGTCAGCTAGAAAATTGTCTCACAACGAAATGGGTGCCTTTGCTTCTGCGCAACAATTCTGATTCAGACGAGAAGATAAACAAACTACAGGATGAAATCCGGGCGCTCAAGAAGCGAGTGGGAGATTCGGCGGGCGAATCCGATGCGAGTCGCGAGAAATTTCAGTCGTTAGAGACCAAGATCAAGATCCTTCAGGATCGTGTCGTCCTGCTTGAGAAGACTTCCGGCAACCATACGGCTTCTATCAACGCGCAGATGAGACACGAAAAAGAGATTAAGGAACGCGTTGATAAGCTGAGTTCAGATTTTGCTCAATTCCCCTCTCAGGGAACCGTGCCGACACACTTTTCTTCGGAAGTTGATGAGTTAAAGAGAATAACGATGACCTTGGATGCCAAGCTCAGCTCTTTGCAAAAGGCCCAGGAAGAATATTCGGGCTCTCTCGAAAGAGTAAATAAAAGTATGGATGCACAACAGAAACGTCTCGATGCCAGCAACGACACTGGCAATGCTTTTCAGCAGAAATTCAAAGAAATCCATGAGCGTCTGGTTCCGATAGAAATGGTCAAGGCAGCTCCGCCGGAGGCTCCAGCAACAGTTCCAATTGACGCATCCAATATTGAGTTGCGTTTGAAGAACGTTGAAAGCAATCTATCCAAGGTTCCGAGACCCGACTCATCCTTGCAGTCGAGAGTCCAGAATCTGGCGGAAAAAGTCGATCAATTACAAAACCTTCAGGCTATGAAAGACGAGCTTCATTTCGCAGAAATGGAGGAGATCAAGAAAGCGGCAGTGGATAAAGCCGAGATACAGTCATTGAAGGACAGTTTTAGTCGCATCGCGGAAGAAACACGAATGATAAGCCAGGAAAACCCGACAGCAGCTGTGGATAAAGCCGAGATACAATCATTGAAAGACAGCTACAGCCGCCTCGCCGAAGAAGTACGGAGAATAAGCCAGTTAGAGCCTGCAGCAGCTGTGGATAAAGCTGAGATTCAGTCTTTGAAAGACAGCTACGGCCGCCTCGCTGAAGAAATACAGAGAATGAGCCAGTGGAACCCCGCAGCAGCCCTTCAGCAAATCAACACGGTGGATCTGAAAATCAACACGGTTGACGTGTCTTTAAAAAATGCTAATCGCCTACTTGAGAGTGTGCGAGTCGGCCTCCATTCCCTGGAGACTCGTTACAATCATCTTTCGACCGAAATGGTTGTGAAGAACATGGTCGTTGCTATGCAAGAGATGTACCCTTCCGCAGGCCAATTGACAGAGCAGATCACAAGCTTGGAAAATCAAGCCGAGAAAGAAATATCATGTTTGAAAAAGACCATTGAACAGCTTGTTCAAGCCCAAAATAGTCAGAAAACTATGCTCGGCCAGCAATCAGCAGAAGGAACGCACCTCAGGGAAACCATTGGGAAGGTAGCCCTTCAAGTCTCTGCTCTCACGGAACAGCTAGAGGGTGCACGCGCTCTTCCTGATAAACTTCAGCAATTGCACACCAACTTCAACTCTCTGGCAGAGCAATATCAAGAACATGTATCTGAAATTAAGGAATATACTAAGTCCAAAGAGGCGGCCGACGGTCAAAACAGAATTGAGTTGTATGAATCCTATCGCGAACTGAAAGATCAGGTCCAAAATTTATCCTCTCATACAAAGGATTTGCAATCCCTTGATGATCGCTTCCGCCGCTTCAAGGAATCCGTGTCTGCCGATCATCAGGATTTGTTAGAGCAACTTGACGCGCTCAAAAATTCTTTGGAATCTCAACAACCAGAGAGTGTGACACAATCCCCTAAGCGAGAAGAAAGCCCTGCAGGGTCCGATGATGTCACCAGCCTCCCAAACTATGCTGAGATCGCTGAGGCTAATCCTGCGCTCGCATTGCGCGAGAAAAAGAAAAGGAAGAAACGACCACGTCCTTCAACCATTTCTGATGATGAGAATGAGAGGTCATCTGGTGCTAGAAATGAGTCCCCTAGGACATTCTCTTCACCGGCTCATGCATTGGACAATGAGGGCGCGTCACCCTCAGAGAGCAAGAGAAAGTCTAAGAAGAGGAAAAAGCGCAGGTTGATCACGGAGGGGCCCATCACTATAGACTAAGGTAGTCTTGATTCCTCGATTATAGAGCGTCGGTCTTCAAGAGCTCGAGTGCACCGGCGTTTACTGGTCTCAGCGATCACGATTGTCACGATTATGTTTGTTCATCGCACAGATTGGATTATCACTAAGATACCTCTTTGCCGTGTCTTGCTGTATGGAGTCACATATCATTCTTATTTCTTGTATTACCCCTTTCCTTCCTTGTGTCTATTCCTTTTGATATATGTGTCTATTGAGTGGATCTCCCATAATTACTCCAAAAGTGGCATAGAATGAACAAACATATACATAAGCACAGAAACACCATTCTTCCACCTCTATATGCAAACTGATATACTCTAGGGAAGATCTTGCAAGAACTTCACAACAGCTGAAACATCCTCAGTCAACACACTCAATAAACAAATATGCATTAATTTACACGTACCTTGCCTGAAAGCCTCTGGATTCTCCGAGATCAACCAATGACCTGCCTCAACATCCGCTATCTCAGCATTGGGGAAGAACTTCTTGATGACAGGGACCGTGTCGTCGCTGACATACTTGCTCTTCGTGCCTCTGACGAAGAGCGTCGGCCCATCATAAGTGATGGATCCCGGTTCGCGGATGGGGAAGTCAGCCATGGCACCAATAGCCGGTCCCAGCACCGAAAGAGGGATACGGAATTTCATCTTCTGACTATCTTCCGCGCGGACCAGGTTGGTCAAGAGGAATTGACGGATGGGGAGGGACTGTGCAAACGGTGTGAGTTTGGTCTTTTTATCCACGGCCTGCTCCGAGTGCGAGAAGCAGAAACTTACGATCTCGTATTCTTTTAGGATCTTGTCGGCATCTGACTGCTTGGTGACTTCTTGTGACTCGACATCTTGCATGCCTCGCACGTACTTTCCGAAGTCACTTTTCAGAGGAGCGTTGACAGGAGCATTGTCGACAGGTATGAGGGCCGAAACTAGATCAGACGATTGTAGAGCAACCGCCATTGCAGTCTTTGCTCCCCTGTTTCCAGGAAGAGTTGAGTATGGTCCGACCTGCCTGGCAGCTCTGGAGAAGAGAAACATACATGGAATGACCAATCAGGACACACTTAGCCAGATCATGCTGGTGGATGAATTTCTCCACGTCTTCGGCCATGACGGAATAGTTATGCTCTTTATGATGGAATGAGTGGCCATGATTCCGCAAATCCTGAAGATCATGAGTGATTTCGTCGTCTACCCTTAAGATGCACTGAGAGACAGACCAGAGTGAAGACCTGCCGCTTGAGGTCACGTGCAAGAACCCTGCGAGCGCCAGTCAGTCAGTTGATCACAAAAGCGTCAAAGCCTGATCGTCAGGGCTTTTAACCTACTTGCTGATACTTCTGTTGTTCTGTTTTGAGCCGAAGAGACCGTGCAAGAAGACAATCGGATTTCGGCTGGCTTGTTCCTTTTCTGGGCCAAAAACCTGATACGAGAGCTCTGACCCAAGCACACGAGACGTCGAGAACGCTCGGATGCTGGATGCAACCCTCACTTGTATCCTTGCGAACGGCATTGTGGAATGATGATGATACTTTCCCCAATCAACAAAGTTGTGTAGAAGACTCAGGCTCGTCTTCACAGGCGGCCGAGTCCGCCAAAATGGATGACTAAGCCGCTACTTCGGATTATTCCAAAACAGGGAAAGAGAACGAAGATACGGAGTAGTGATGTATGTGTTTTCAGTTCCAAATCTCTCCGTTTGACTCGTCATGTGGAAGAGCTTCCATTCTCTTGACTTTTAGATATGTGTGGAAATTTCCTCGAATCTAGTCAGCATTAAAGCATTAGCCCATGAACGACGACATCATGTGTCTGCCGCAATGTCAGGCTGATTCGGCGAGACATTGAAAAACCATGAACAATTGTCTATTGGTAGCTGTTGAATGCTAATAGTTACAGGAAATACAAGCCGGCTCGCGCTCACTCTGCTCGCTGCGGCTTCTTGCAGGAAATATATACAAGAACAGATATAATCATGATTGATGGCGCTGGTTCACAATCGTCAATCGTTCGAAAAGAGAAGCCCAGGTTCCGTTGTTTAGGCGTCTAGAAGTGGTGGCACCTTCTCGCACAGATATTCGACAATGGCGTCGGGGCCCCGCTCGACTTGGAGACCGGTGGGAATGGCATGCAGCTTGATATCGGGCTTGATTTCTCTAGCGATGTCGTGGATCTGGCGGGCTTCCTCGGCGGTCCACATGGAGGCGCTGAACTATGGTCGAATCATATTAGCTCTGAAACCGCAGCATTCGTGGAATGCCGTAAAGGCATAATTTGCTACATGTGGAACATATGAGCTGCATGATAAGACGGCATACCAAAACGTCAGGCATATGCTCCTTCACCTTAGGAGCAACCTCCTCGATTTCTATGTTGACGAAACAATCAGCATTTCTGTACCCCGATTATCCTCAGCAACAAGGCGCTCATACTCTCGCAGTTGTCCACATGAATGATGGTATATTTGTCCTTGAGCGTATCGGCGACACGTCCGATAAGACGCTTGGCTCTCTCGGGAGCAGTGTTGACAGTAACAAGACGGAAAGGTCCCTTGGGGCTGGCCATTGTGACAGTTGATGCGAAGTGAATCAATGAATGAAAGAAGATGCAAAATGACGACACAGATGTCTATTTCTTTGCGAGCACGCGATTTCCTCAGCTCTTTAAACGAGGGGCGAGTCTTTAGTACTCGGAGATAAACCACACTGTTTGTCTAGTAGTTTTATCCGCATTGTCCCTCAGAATGGCGACATCCCCACAGTCCATCGTGGGGATCTCTTGGGGCTGGTGGACTCACTGTTGAAAATGATCCAATTACATTGCGATATTTGATCTCATTCAGTGCGATAAAAGGAACCTCTGACCTTTTTCTCAACGGCAATTCCTCTGCCCCGAGTCCCATCTCCCACTTTGCTGAAGGTGCCCCTCCCCCACCATCCCCGCCTTCGCTGTTATCGGCACGCCTCCGAGTAGCAATAATGCATCCGCACCGGTCTCGGGGGGAAATGTCCCGCGACGAGCTTTCAAAAGGAAGGATGGTTTTCACAAGATCACTGGTAGTGCTTCCTGAAAAACATTCTTGTGATACCCCCTTAAGTCCATCTAACTTCATTTCTACGCTCGAAGACCATGTCTAAGATTGCCTCCACCTTTTCGCGTGAGTTGTATCAATGTATCTTGAGCCTTACACAGCGCAATCAAGTTAATACCACATAGGCCTTGTGCGCTTCGTTCCCAGATCTAACCCTGCCAAGATCTTGATCGGTGAACCGGTAGATCCGCAGGTGGATGTTGGTTTGGCTGTCTACCAGGGAAAGGAGGTCTCCGTACGGCCATTCACGGGCACATCTGTTCTCAACCCAGGCCAGAAGACGGACACAACAGAGACAATTGAGCGCATCCTCTCTCCTCTGGCGCAGAGCGAGGTTGGATCCATTCGATGCATTGGTTTGAATGTGAGTCTCGCAAAACGCTTAGTTGGGGTGTGGATCGGTGCTGATCGTTTCTGAATTCTTGCTCCGTTAGTATGTGTCGCACGCTGCAGAGATGAAGCTGGCTATTCCCGATGTACCGACTCTCTTCCTGAAGCCGTCCACCGCGCTTGCGGACCCATGGCCGGCACCGACCATTCTCCCCAAGATCACACAGGTCGACAACACGGGCGATTACGAGTCGGAAATGGTCATTGTCATTGGTCGTGATGCGAAGGATGTCAGCGAGACGGAGGCTCTGGACTACGTTCTTGGTTACACCGCCGCCAATGATGTTTCCAGCCGGACATCGCAGATGAACCAAAGCCAATGGTCTTTCTCCAAGGGCTTCGATACCGCATGCCCCATCGGTAAGCTATCGCCGTTCATGCAAGACTTCGAGGAACGATTGCGCTGACTATGACGTTCCTGATATCAGGACCTGTCCTTGTCTCCTCGGCTCTTATCCCTGATGCCAGCAAGCTTCAGATCCGCGGCTTGAAGAACGGCCAAGTCATGCAGGACTGCCCTCTGACGTATGGAAGCACCGATCCACAGACCCACAGCTTGTTCCACACGCTGACTCTCGTACTCCAATAGTGATTTGATCTTCAGCGTCCCTCAACTCGTCAGCTTCTTGTCGCAAGGAACAACTTTGCCTGCCGGTACCATTATCTTGACCGGCACGCCTCCCGGTGTCGGAGCGGCCAAGAACCCCAAGGAGTTCTTGACGGCAGGTGATGAGTTTGCTGTTGAACTACTGCCTCACGTCGGAACATTGATCACGAAGATCGAGCACCAGGCATGATTGGGAGGATGTGTCCAATAGAATCATCAATGACCAGAAAAGAATTGTACATACTACCCGCGTCGTACTATTCTCATGAAGAGAAAGAAGCCTTAGACCTTGCTCTGCTTCCGTACATTAAGTGCGAGTCACCGAGCCAACGGCTAACTGAGTCTAACAGCGTTAATCCGCAGTCCTGTGGAAAATTGGATAACACTTGGTGCGACATGTGTGTATTGTAGAATGTCTAATATCAAGATATCTAGATCTACTCTGTTTCGGTGAAATGCTTGATATACCCTCGCCCACGAATCCCCACGCATGATGCATCCCAGACTGAACACTAGATGCACTTGTCTCCACAGTCTACACGCGTCCATCCATTCATTGCCCACGACTCACTATTATTGCCACACACCAGGAAAAGCCTGTCCGACCGCGTGGTAGCCTAGCCAACAAACAAAACAGATTGAATCAGAAAAATGTCAAAACAATCCATCGTCACCTTGAAGATACCAAACCGATGATTTCCCCATTCTGAGATGATTTCATAGCAAGCAGCGCATCATGACTGTCCGTACCGACATGAGACCTGCTATGAGTTCCCATGTCCCCTTTCTAGGTGAAATGGCAGTGGCAGGCTGGCAGCTCATTTCTGCTGATCTCCCTTGGACGCCACGTGGGGTATAACTTTATCCCGCGGAGTTAAGCTTGTCCGCCGCTTGTAGATGTGTCTGTCCACTCTGGAACTGGATATCCCGATTAGAAGGCCTGGGGAGTAGCACTGTGTGCCTGAGGGGTCAACTGTCAACAATAACATTTTTACAGTTTAGACTTTAGTGGAGGTGGTTAAGCTTCGCGGTTATGACATGAGAGTTGGCACACAGCCTTTATATAAGTGTTGCTTATTGAGAAGTGACAATTGTCGCTTTAAGGAAAGGCTGTCTTCCTTTAAGGGAGTCTGAGTCTGACAAACCCGACCTCCCGAACCGGCGGGTCGGGCAGCCGTAAAGAGAGTTGACTAAGTAAGATGTGGTCTGACTTCGCTTTCCCGATGGGCTGATATCGGTCTGTCGCTCGGGAAAGGAGGTCAGCTAAGCTACCTGAAATTCCTTTCGGAGTAGAGAGGTATAAATATTTGTAATGGGGCTACATGGGCTTTTTTCTCGTTCTCTCGCGCCTTTTCAGTGATTTTCTATAAATATTGGCAGGGTGCTTGATGCGACACAAAATCCTCTCGTTCATGTCTCCAATTATTCTGTTCGCCATGCCTATCCCTAATCGATACCCGTCCCAATCTATCATCTGTTCCGTTCAAGAACAACCTATCTATTCTTCTCTCGAGTGACGCCGTTTCATGACGAGAAAGTCCAGGAAAGTCCTTCATCCCTGGCTTGGACGCCATTTCTTGCCCTGCCAGTGAAGGATAATCGTAGGGATGACGCTGGCTCCTACAATCAGTGCACAGCCGACCCCAGCACTGGCAGCAACTCCGACGTTCTCAAACATAGAGGGAAACCTGTATCCCCATCAGTCCTTGCACAATCGACTCAGTGAAGACGCAACTTACCAGAACGGCCCAAGAAAACCCCAAATCTGCCGAACGAAGGTGATGAAAACGCCAACACTTCCCGCTTCTTGAGGATAACAGTCGACGGCGAACGTGATGAGCACCGTGGTCACTACCTGGTTGCCAGCGGCCCCAATGGCAATGCCGATGATGGGAGCAACTTCCCAGTGGTTCCCGGACAATTGGGTACATACAAGGAAGACTATGAGGCCGATAATGGATAGGATATAACCGATATAGCTGAGCCACAGGCGGTATTCCGGTTCAGGCTTCTTACGAATCTTGCGCTCTCGCTGTCTCATCCACAGATCAGACATCCTGCCACCAAGTTGTTCCCCCAGAACCGATCCAATGATGGGACCAAGGAACTGTAGTCCCAGCTGTTCTGTGTTGAGGTCCCATCTGAGTTGCAAGAGCGATGGTACCTCAACGGTGGCCAAGACATTACTCAGGCAGAAGACCATGGCATAGGCCGCAGCGGGTATGGCAATGCATGGTTGCATGATCATCGTCAACGGCCTGACAAACTCATACCACGTAAAGGGAGTTGGGTCGATGCGTCGCAAAGCAAGGTATTCTCGTTTCCAGGCAGGCTCTTTCGAATCTTCGTCGCCGCCGATGTAACGAGTTTCTGGCCCGAAGAAGAGGTACAGAATGAATTGACCGCCGTTGATCTGTGATGAAGG